TTTTTCCCTTTTTCCCCCCCTTATGGTGCCAGGGATCAAACCACGCCTGGTGCATGCTAGGCAAGTGCTCCACCACTGAGCCACATGCCCAGCCTTTTCTTGGCCATGAGTAGGAAAGGCGACTGACTGAGTGGCTATGCCCCCATCTAGTCATCAGACTTCAGTGAGAATAACCAAGGGGGTGGGTGGACCTACACAATTAGGAGGCAATTAAGGCCTTGTAAACACAGCTGTTGATTAAAAACACAGGTAAGGGAATTCTAAGGAAAATTAAATGTAACAAATCAGCAGGCAGAAAATGGATCCCTAGGCGGTGGAGAAACTTGTTAATAAACTTGCTGAAACCACCACCAACTCAGAAAAGGGATAGTGAGCAAAGGACAAGAACGTTTTACATCAAGTCTTACAGCAAGGTCAGGGGAGGGAAGTCTCTTGGGTGGCTGAGTGACTTTCAGGGAAACAGGAGCAGTGAGATGACAAGGGTCTGAGCAGCAAAGGATGTCCCCCTGCAACATGTTTACAGCAGAGATCACTGTCAGGGTTACGGTGAGCTAGACCATAGGAAGAAATCAACTCTGCGAAGTATACTGGGCTCCTTCCTGGTCCAGCAACAAGTCAAATGGAAGATACAAAAGTGAGCCAGGCTGGTGAGAGATCTCAGGGAACATCTGCACCACAAGGACAGCAATGGCTTGAGCAGTCACACAGGTAGGGTCATGTGCAGAGAACAAGACAGAGGAGGCAGGTGAGTTTCCACCATCAGGATGGCTTCCTACAGAAGGTGGCATCTGAGCCGTCCTAGAGATTCCAAAGAAGTATAGGAAAATTGATCAGAGCAAGGAAAGGGCGTTCAGTTTCCTTATTCATCTGCACCACCATCTACCCCAATTAACAAGTTACTAGGCACCTCCTATAGGCACTGTGCTAGGAGCCAATGGCAGAATTTTAAGTAAAAAGCAAGAGTCGCTGCCCTCAGAGTACTCCTGAGGAGGCAAACCTCAACCAAAGGGCCAAACCTTCAGACATACAAGCAGAAAAGCCAGTTCCATGAGGGGCTCTCTAAGGTCTATCTAAAATTCTGACAGGGACATATGAAGACCTTGCTGAGGAAGCAATGGTGGATCTGAGATCCAAAGGGTGAGTCTGAGACACCCAGGCAGAGTGGAGACTGCAGCATTCCTGACTGAGGGACTGAAATCTGCAAGATAAGAAAGAAGTGTGAAGACAGCAAGGTGCTCACACAGGCCAGGAAGGATAAGCATGCCACGTGGGTGGGGAGCAGTGTGTGGGAGAAGAGTCTGCAGGATTGGTAGGGCTCGTGGGGTCCTTGGGTCATGGCAAAAAGCCCCATCCTTGACTCTAAGAACAATGTTAAATCCTGGAAATGTTTTAATCAGTATCCTTATGGGAGGAATGGGGCAGGAAGTGGTAGGGAGAGAGTTTTATAATGGAAAGATGACCTGGCCAAAGCATGGAGACTGCATGAAAGCCAGAGCGGATGGACCAGTGGTCCAGGAGGTAGGGTGGAGGCCAGGAATGGGGAGACAGCTGTGAGGATGGGGAGAAACGAGGTCGTGCGATATTGGGCTAAGTCAACAGACTAGAAGGTAGAGTGTGGGGGTGGGTAGGGGAGAGGCAAGTGGTGAGGAAACCTTTGGCTTTCAGGAGGCATGGATGTCCAATTCTCTGAACAAGGACAGTTGGAAAGGATCATTGTGACAGAGAGAGATGAGTGGGGGCGGGGGGGGGGGTTAAGATTATCTTTCCCCTAGTAGACTATGAGCTCCCTGAAGGCAGGGACTCTTTTTACTCAAAATTGAGTCCTCAGACACTTTCTGACAGATAATAAGTGCTCAGTCACTGCTTGTTAATGAATGCATGGTGATGAGGTGCCTTCATTGTGGTTTTGGACATGTAAAGTTTGAGGTGCTTTAAGACATGTGAGAGGAGATGGTAGGTGAAACGCTAGATATGTGGGTAAGCCTGGGAAGGGAGCTACAGGATCACCCGAGAAGAGCAGCTAGAGGGAGAAGACAAGCAGACCCTGGATCCAACCTTTAGGAGTTGCAACCTGTCGGGGCCTGGGAGAAGAGGGGAAGTGCACAAAGGAGACAGAAGGAGCAGCCAAAGTCGGAGGGAGTGCTCTAAGGAGCGGGGAGTCAGCAGTGCCAACTGCAAGTAAGATGAGAAGCTAAGAATGTTCTTTGGGCTTAGCAACACTGAGCTCATTGGTGACCTTTGTGGGGACTGTTTTTGTGAAGCAATGGGGTGGAAAAAAGTTTGGAGGTGGCAAGGGGTGGGAAGTGATGAAGCCATAGCAGGGGGTAGACACAAGTCTGAGGGAAGGAGAAAGGGAGCAGTGGGCAAGTGTTCAGCAGAGGCAGCAATATGCTGGGCCTATCTGAGAAGTGACAGCGGCCTAGCATGGCTGGAACAGGGCTCTCAGGCATTTTTTTCTGCCCCAACATCCATTGGTGGAGAGACACTTCAGGTCTTTAAAGGAAATTAGAACATCAGGAAGGAGGGCCGATTCCTTAGGGAGATAAAAGCTTGGTTTTGGGAGCCATTCATTTTACCAGGGACTTGGGGACCAGGCTAGAGGAGAGTGATGTCTAGAGGAGACTTGGAAAGATGGACTGAGGGCAGCATCAGCGACCCACAGTTGCAGGCCCAAGGCAGGCCACCATCTGTTTTTGCGTGGGCAGTCCACAAGTTAAAAACAGCTTTCATGTTTTTTCAAATGGTTGGAAAAGGATCAAAAGAAGAAGAACACTTCATAACATGTGATAAGTTCATGAAATCTGCATTTCAGTGTCCATTAATAAAGTTTTATTGAAACATAGACAGTAACACTCATTCACCTGATATCTGGTCTGTGGCTGCTTTCGTGCTGCTGTGGCAGAGTTGGAGAGTTGTGACAGAAACTGTTTACCCACACAGCCAAAATATTTACTACCTGGCCCTGTACAGAAGTTTGCCAAGCCTGGATCCAAGGCATAGGGAAGCAATCAGAACAACTTCCTGTGAGCTAACATGGGAAAGAATTAGGTTAAAGGGAACCAGGTCACACTGCACATTAAGGAAAGCAGGCACTGGCCACGTAGGAGTGAGAAGAGAATGACAACAACGTGCTCTCTTTGGTTCTGTGATGGACATTCTCTTCCTCCTCCAGGAGGCCCCTCTCTTGCATTGTGAGGAGAACCCCACGAGGCTCCATGTGAAGGGTACATCTTTGAGGAAACATTCCCTTCACCAGCAGAGTCTCCACGCTGTCTTAAGTAAACAGAGCTTCATGCATCTCCCCTTTATATCTCTCATCACCATGGTAATTAAATAATTATTTGAAGAATTCTTGGTCTAATGCCTTACCCTCCCCCTGGACTGGGAGATCCTGTGGGAGTAAGACAGAGCAGTTTCTGGATACTGGCTGCTTGGTTCAATCCTGCTTCCACCATGAACTGGCTAGTAACTGTGGCTCACTTACTGTCAGTCTGCTCATCAGTAAAATGGGGACAGTGAAAATCTGTACCTTTTGGGGTTGTGAGAATTAAATTAAATAATTCAGACAACACGCTTGGAGCAGTACCTGCACTGCATTAGATCTTGGTATCCATATCATCATTAGTAGCTACTGGGATGGGGGCAGCACAGGAAAGGAATGGATAAGAATTTCAGGGAAAATGGGTAAATGGTGATGTTATTCCCTGAGACAGAAAAGACAAGAAAGGAAGTAGGTTTGGGGAACTTGCCATGTCGAGGAGTCTGGAGACAGTCAAGTGGCAATGCAAGGTAGGTAGATGGGAGTGAGCTCAGTGGGGCTGCTGGCTGAGGTAGGAGGTTGGAGGAGTATGGATAGGGCTTGAAATAGCTGAGGGGAAACATGAGATTGTGGGGCTGCATTTTTGGCCTCCATAGAAGTGCCCTGGCACTTGTCATGTGTGACTGTCTATATATAGCAGGTTGTCTTGTTGGCTACCAGATCCCCAGTACTCCTGGCATAGCACTTAGCATGTAGTAGATGATAAATAAATATTTAACAAATGATTAAGGAGAGAAGACCCATACATATTACCATGATTATCATGTTGGGATGTTGCAGCAAGTACTGCGGCCCATCCTGGACATCACTAGTAGTCATCACACATGACAGCTTCCTACATCAGACATATGTGTATTGCTACTCAAGGGAATTCTCCAATGGCAGTAGCAGGCCAGCCCATGCATGCGGCAAGCTAAAAGTATGGAGGAGTCAATGCCCTCAGGAAAGAACCCATGTGAACCACTGAGGAGTGGAAATTGGGAGATGAATATCCAGTACCCTCAGCCATCAGTCAGATGTTCTGTGAGCCACCCTCTTGCCACAGAACTGTGTCTTAGGCAGCCCTACTGGGTTCACGATCAACACTCAGCACCCAGAATTCGAGTTCACAGGAGGGTGAATTCTACATTAAAGAAGTCTAAAGGGCCCTCAAATATCTGAACTCCATGGTCTCATAAAGATAAACAGGAGGATACCATCTCAAAATGCATCTTCTTGGACCACAGTAATCTGATGCTCAAAATCAGGGCCTACAGGGAAGCAGACTCCTGAAAGCCAGCTGCCCGCTGACCGAGCTCTAAGAGGAAAGAGCTGGTAATCTTGGACAAGCCACTTCTGGGTCGGTTTCCTTAGCTGGCCAAAAGGAGGTAATTACCTATTTGCTTGCCTCAGAAGACCCAGGAGAGTAGAAGAAATAGTGCTTTTAAGGATAGAGCTGTAAAGATATATAGGGGTGTCACCAATGCATCCTAGGGTTCAATTTCTCTAAGAGCCTACTAATGGGAATCCAAGTTACTAGTGAATGCTCTTTCCCTGATGCTGCTGCATAACCCAGAAGGCACTGAGGAAATGGAGACTTTACAGGTATTCCTGCTACCCTTGTCCACAAGAATCCTCTTTCTTGTGTGAATTTGGGGTAAAGGAACAACACCATAAAACCAAGGATTCAGTGGATATCTACCCATTCTTCTTCCAACAATTGGGTCTTTTCACATTCCTCTTTTTGGTCTTCTTAATGACTAAGTATCCCTCTGTGTAGGTAAGTGTGATGGTTAATCAGGATAGTCAACTTGATTGGACTGACAGACACCTAGGGAACCCCTATGATTGGCTATGTCCATGAGAGTCTTTTCAATGATGATTGGTGTGTAGGACAACAAACCAAGGAAGGACATCTGCTCTGAATATGGGCATGGCTGTCCAGTGGCTGGGGGTCCAGATGGAACAAAAATCTGAAGGGGGAGCTGCAGCAGATGCAGATTTGACTCTTCTTGAGCAGGTGCATCTCTATCTACCACCATCACCTATGGACATCAGATTCCAGCTTCTTCACTCTTTTAGCAGGTCTCCCACCAGCAATTCTCCAGCAATATCAGGCCTTTGGCCTTGGACTGCAGCAGCATCATTAGTTCCTCCTCTTCTGAGGCTCCTGAGGCTCCAGCTTCTGCTGGCTCCTCTAGCTCTCCAGCCTGCGGATGGCCATTATGGAACTCTCCAGCTTCAGATCCTGTAAGCAATATATAAATCCCTTTTTATAATTATACATAGTCATATCCTGTTGGTTCTGTTCCTATAGATAACCTTAACATAAGGAATCTGGGTGCTTGGGAGGCGACGTAACTTGTCCAAAATCACATAGGTAATGAGAAGCACAGGGAGGATTTTAAAACAAAAATGTCTGTGTGGCTCCCAAGTTCATGGACTTCCACAGTTCCACATCCAGCCCTGCTTTTTCTCTGAAAAATCCTCCTCCATGATGTCATGAAATATTATTTGCCCCTAGAAGTTCTTCCCAAAAGAAAACAACCAGTATCCTAAGAACATATGAATTTTCTCTACCAGTTGAGAAGAAATAGTCTAATTTAGCCCCTATAATCCCTTCCCTAACCCAACCCTGAACACATAATAAGTCACTGCTTCTAGAGAGAGAGCAAGGAGCCCCAGGTATTCTGATTCTTCAGATCACATGGTAGTGAAAACCAGGTTAAGAATGTGAAACTCACCAAGTTGCAGAGAGAGAACAGGATGCAGCCACAAAACCACAAAGGGAGATATGGCCTGTTTGGCTCCTACTCTAATTACAGACAAAGGTATGTGTCTCAACACTATCTTTCCTGAGGACACTGGAAACTGCCCATGTGGGTGCCTGGTAGGCTACAGACATTTACAATATTTGGTAAATGAACCAATGTGCTCATCCTCCCTTTTTCTTCCCTCTCATGCTCTCTAAACCCAAGAGGTTGTTCTCATTTTCCTGTACATGAAGCAAATCATGATGGCACTGCCCTCTCCCATTTCCCTGACTTTTCAACTCTGAGGTCTTCTTGGGTTTACCAGTCACCTCCCACTTCCTTTGCTCTTACCTTTCTAAACCCAGCATCTTTCACTCCTCTTAGTGTACTGGCCCAGGTAATACTGTGAAGCTCCCTTGGTCAAACTTCCTGTTGGACTGCTGAGTCATTTGTGACCTCTCGATAAAATTTAATTGAGTCCACACAACCACCACTTATTCCTAAGGACAGATAGTCTAATGGCAGTGACTAATTCCCCATAAACTTGGCTTTGTGTGCAATGATCAAAAATACAAACAATTGCTGGGTTCAGTGGCACAGGCCTGTAATCCCAGCAGCTCAAGAGGCTGAAGAAGGAAAATTGTGAGTTCAACTTCAGCCTCAGCAATTTAGTGAGGCCCTAAGAAACTCAGCAAGACCCTATCTCTAAAAAAAATATATATATAAAAGGGTTGGGGTTGTGGCTCAGAGATTAAGCGTCCCTGGGTTCAATCCTCCAGTACAAACACACACACACACACACACACACACACACACACACATATACACACACACACAATAATAAATGCTGGCAAGATTGTGAGGGAAAAGGTATACTTGTATGTTATTGGTGAGGCTTCAAACTAATACAACCAATCTGGAAAGCAGTATGGAGATTCCTCAAAAAACTAGGGATGAAACCACCACATGACCCAGTATTCCGCTCATTGGCATTTTCCCAAAAGATGTAAAATTGGCACACTATAGCAATACAGCCACCTCAAAGTTTATAGCAGCACAATTCACGATAGTTAAATTATGGAATCAACCTAGGTTCCTATCAATAGGTGAATGGATTAAGAAATTATATATGCTTTTATATATAAATTATTATATATAAGATATATAGATATAATAATACACATACAATGCTGTTCTGCTCAGCCATAAAAAAGAATAAAGCTATCACATTTGCCAGAAAATGGATGGAAATAGAGAATATTACACTAAGTGAAATAAGCCAAACTCAGAAACTCAAGGTATGTATATGTAGAAGCTAGAGTAAATAAAGAAAAAGAGAAGGGAAGGATAGAATAACATAAAAATAAAGGGAAGATTAGTAATGTAGAAGGAGATTAAGAGACAGAGTGGAGAGATGGGAAGGGAAGGCAATGTAGAATGAACTCTTAAAAATCATGTTATGGGCATATATCATTATACCAGAGGGAACTTCACCTTTATGCATAGGTAGAAAGAACCAATCAAATATAAATAAATAGACAAGCTAAAGGAAAACCAGTAGAGTAGAGAAAAGAAAATTGGAAAGAAAAGGGGGAGTGAAGAGGTGGGTGGGTGATCATAAACTGAAATTGAATTCCATGCATGTATGAGTTTGTCAAGATGAACCCACCTACTATGTATAACTATAAAGCTATAAATAAATAAATAAATAAATAAATAAATAAATAAATAAATAAACTTTACCTTATGTGAACCTGTTAAGATGTTTCCTAGACCAAATGACCAAATGACTTGAAGTTCACAAAGGAAAAATAAAACAATGATTTCCAAAACCTTATAGCTATGACAGAGGAATGTGTCTCAACTCTTCCCAAAGAAAGAGGTCCAATGTCTTTAGGGTTTGATCCTTCAAGAAACTCCTCTTCCAATGTCATATTCTGTCCTAGAAGACCTGAAAAACATCAAATCATAGCTCAGCAGATCCTTAGGATTTCTGTAATCCGGTTTTGTGATCAGCACTAATTAACTGTTGCAACTATTAGAAATTGTTTAAAAAATGGTACTTAGAACTTAACTTCTAGGTTGAATGGGAAATATTGGTATACCAACCAGCCCTTTCACTGAAAACTTTTATAATACTGGGGAAAGTATATGAAATAATTATTTTCGTATCTTGGACAGTAGGCATTGTAGACGTATTGGTGCCAAAGTGAAGGGGAAAAAAAATGAGTCCCTGATGTTCTTCCTAGAGCCTTTTGCCAGACCCCAGAATAAGGATGAGAAATCCAAACAGAATAGAGTCCTCCTGAAATGAAGAAACAGGGATCAGATTTAAAGGAGGCTGAGGTGTCTGGAATTTGAATACCAGAGAAGTTGCTTCAAGGATAAGGAGCTTCAGTTATCTTCACTAGATGGCTTTGAATCTTTTTTGTAAATATGAACCTTCACAATTGGAGGCTATGACTCCATAAAACTACACAGAGAACAACTACCAGAAAAAAAAAAACTACCAGATAACTGCAAGATGAAGAACTATCAGAACCCATAAACAGATGGGAGGCATTCATCTTCCAACTAACCATAATGAAGAAATTTACCAGGGAATCCAGTAGAGAACCCAGAAAATGCAGGCCTTACAAGTAGTGCTAAATAGAACAACCAACAAATCTAGATGGATATTCACTTAATAATAGCAAATTAACTATCTGTCAGAACAAAACTCAACACTCTCTAAAAGAACAACAAATCCAATTAATAACAGCATTCTGCATTCAATTAAAAATTATTAGACATGAATGAAAAGAACTAGGAAATTGTAAGCCATACAAGAGAAAAGTTCATTTCTAGAAATAGACTAAGAAATGACATATATGTTTGACTTGACAAACAAGGAATTAAAAATAGCTATAATATTTCCAAAGAGTTAAAAGAAAACAAACCAATGAGACAAGAAATGGAATCTTTTTTTTAAATCAAAATAGAACTTCTAGGGCTCAAATTACAATACGTACAATAAAAAATTAACTAGATAGATTAATATTCTTTTAGACACAGCTGAAAAAAAAGACCAGTGAATTTAAAGACAATAGAAACTATTCAATCTGACATTACAGGGGGAAAAAACAAGCTGAAAAAAATATGAAGAGAGCCTAAGTAACTTGTCAAAGAACAGAAATAACTGAAGTCCAAGAAATAGAGAAAGAAAATATTTGAAAATATAATAGTTGAAAATTTTACAAATTTAATGAAAACTGTATACTCAAAGATTCTACTCCAGTATATATCAAGCAGGATAAATAGGGAGAAAACCACACCAACATGCAACATAACTGAATTTCTAGAAACTAATTACAAGAAATCTTCAAAGCAGCAAGTATGGAAGACATATTAGAGACTTGGGGAAATATGAGAATTACTGCTTATTTTATATCATAAATAATGCAAGTGAGAAGACAATGGAATGATTTTTTGCAATCCTAAAAGAAAAAAGTGTTGATACAGTTTCTGTGGCCAGAGAAAAAATACTTTCAGAATGAAGAACAAAATTCTGAGAGAATTCATTGCCAGCAGACTAGCACTTCATCTAACAAATGATAAATGAATGTTTTCTGGCTGAAGAAATTGATTCCAAATAAAATTTCAGTCTCTTCAACACAAAGAAGAACACAGGAAATACAAATATGTTAGTAAATATAAAATATTTTTCCATTTAAATTTTTTTTAAAAGATAATTCTCTAGGGGCTAAGGTTGTGGCTCAGTGGTAGAGCACTTGCCGAGCACACGTGAACACTAGGTTTGATCCTCAGCACCACATACAAAAATAAATAAAGTTATTTTTTTTAAAAAAAGATAATTCTCTAAAGCAAAAATAACAAAAATGTAGCATGGAGTTTATAATATATGAAGAAATGAAAATGTATAACAATAATAGTATACAGCATGGGAGGGGAAATGGAAGTATACTCTTTCAAGGGTCTTCATTATATGTAAAGTATTATTTTTGAAGGTAGACTTTGATGGTTTAAAACATATTGCAATCCTTAGGACAACTATACTTACAGACAGAAAATACAAAATCAACTGATTTTTAATTTTAAATAAATATAATAATAATAAAATGAAAAATAATATATAAATGGAATCCAAAAATATTCAATTTAATAAAAGGCAAGAGATAGAGAAAAATTTTTTCAAATGAAGAAGACAAATATCAAGATGATGGACTTAGACCAACCATTTCAATAAGTATGTTACATGTAAATGGAAAACCATAAAAATTATAATGTAGAAACTGTCAGTCTGAACAAAGAAGAAACAGCTGTATTCTTCAAGAAATTCACCTTATGCATAAAAACATTCATAATTAAAAAGTTAAAGTATAGGGAAACGACACACTATGCAAACTCTGTAGCTGGAAGAGCTATGCAATGCAGATAATATAATATAACCCATATGTCCCGTCATACTATGTGTAGAACTCCCATAAAAACTTAAATTGGCCAGGTGTGGTGGTTCACGCCTATAATCCCAGCAGCTAGGGAGGCTGAGACAGGAGGATTTCAAATTCAAAGCCAGCCTCAGCAATGGCAAGGAGCTAAGCAACTCATTGAGACCCTGTCTCTAAGTAAAATACAAAACAGGGCTGGGGATGTGGCTCAGTGGTTGAGTGCCCCTGAGTTCAATCTCCATTACTGCCCCCCTCTTAAAAAAACACTTAAATTGAACAACAAATATACCATTTGTGATCATTTAAAAATAAATATTGTTTTTAGAGTTCTATTAATTGAGAAAAGTAATAAGTGTTTTGAGTTTTTGAAAACTGCATATATTTTTAGATGTATATATGTAAAAATAGATATAAAGGCTACATAAGCTCTAGATTATAATTTCCAACCTATTTTAATACACCTGTGTCAATCTCATTGAAATATTCACAGAATTAAAAACTTAGGACTTAATGAGTTAAGACAAGGGCTATCACCAGAGATAAAGAGAGACATTTCATAAGAATAAAGAGGTCAGTTTCAGGCAAAATGATAAAACAAACCTAAATGAGTATTCACCCAATAGCAGAGTTTAAAATACACGAAGCAAAAACTGACAGCAATGAAAGGAAAAACAGACAAATTTAAATTATAGTTGGAGTTTTCAACAGTCTTCTCAATAATTCATAGGACAAGTAGACAGAAAATCAATGAAAAAATATATGACTTGAATATCACTGTCAACCAACCTGACCTAAATGACATTCATTTACTAGATAAAAAGTATACATTTCTTTCCAAATGCACATGGAACATTCAACAACACAGATAATATGCTGGGCTAAATGTAAAAGTCAAAACTATAAAACTTCTAGAGGAAAATTTAGGAAAAGATATGTACAAATTTGGGACAGATAAGAGTTTCACAAGACAGAAAAAAAGTAATGAAAATTAATAAATTGGATTTCATCAAAATAAAATTTCTCATTTTCAAGGGCATCAGTTAAAATAAAAGGTAAGTCTAGAAAAAAAATACAATACATATCCGATAGGACTTAGAAAAAACATAGAAAGAACATTCTTAGCCCTTCATTCACAATAGTCAAATGTTAATAATAATCCCAAAGTCCCCCAACAGGTGACTGTCTAAACAATGGAATACTACTCAGCAACAACAACAACAAAAATAATGTACTCTTGATATATTATGGAAGAATCTCTAAAATATTGTGCAGAGCAAAATGAGCCTGACACAAAGGACTATGCTTTGTGGTTGGGTACAGGAGGAGTTCAAGACCAGGCAAAACTAACCTAAGGTAATAGAAATCCAGTGAGTGGTAGCCTGGTTTGGGGATGGAGGGATTGACTACAAAGGGATATTGGGGGACTTCTAAGGTGACATAAATGTTCTGTGTCTTCATCATGGTAGCGGTTACATGACATATACATTTGCCAAAAATTATCCAATTGAACACTTGAAGCAGGAGCCTTTTATTGCACACTAAATTGATTTTTTAAAAAATAAGAAAAGTCATGTGCAGTGACACATGCCTATAATCACAGCCACTCAGGAGGCTGAAGCAGAAGGATCACAAGTTCAAAGCCAGCCTTAGCAACTTAGCAAGACCCTAAGCAAGTTAGGGAAGACCCTGGTCTCAAAATAAAAATTAAAAAGGGCTGGGTGTGTGACTCGGTGATAAAGCACCTCTGGATTCAATCTCCAGTCCCAAAAAATAAAATTGAATTTAAAAAGAAGAAAGAGGAAGAGGAGGAAGAGCTTTTGACCTTCAGAAGACTGCATTCCACATGAGGAAACTGGGTTGGGAATATAGGGAAATATCCCGTGGTCTCACACAAGCCAGAAGGATATTCTGCACGAACTTATGTCTTGCATGCCCAGGTGCCATGCCGATCTAAGAAGGGAGAGGTGAGCAAGGGACAAGTCAGTGCCAGTTTCATGGGGGAGCCCAGCCAGGAATTGAAAGGAAAGGGAATCTGAGGCATAGAGAGAAGGCTTAGGGTTTCCAACGAAGGATTCAACATACTGAAGTGGAAATAGCCATGGTCCACATGGGGGCCGTGCCAAGACTGGTGTGGCTAATTCAGATATGGGAGAGGAATAAAGTGTAAGATCCTGGAAGCCAGGCAAAGGATGGACAAGACTGAAAATGGGCATTCTCATGAATCCTGCACAGGGCAGTGGGAGCACTGTGGGTGGACAGTCTGGGGCCAGCAATCCAGAGAGAGGCTCTTGCAGGTATATAGACAGGGGACAATGGGGGCCTGCTCTACTGAGATGTCCTGGAAATACGTAGGGAGGAATAGAACCAAGAATCATCCAGGCAAGAATGAGCCTTTGGGGGCAAGCTCTCTTGAAGTGTTTTCTAACCATGTCGAGGCTGCCAAACCCAGCAGACTGAGCTCAGGCCCTGGAGTCCACAACCCTTGCACCAAGCCTGGCTCCAC